TTTTCGACTTTTTTTTTCGAATAAAAGTATATTGCACTTTACAAATTTATATGCACATAAAAAATTATTCATAAAGTTTGTTAAGTCAAAACTGTAAAGTTCTATTTGTTACGGCAGACAAATGAGTAATGATGCAGACATTAGAATATTCTAAAAAGTAAGAAGAAAGAAGTGCAAAAAATAAATTATCATAATACCGTATAATTTTGGGTCTTGGCGCATAATTTTGTTTCCCGAATCTCGTATTTTCGTACAGTCCTTGAAATTATTAAGTATCGAAAAATAAGAAATTCGACGTGTTTTTTTTTAATATTGAACTTCTTTAAATGAATAATTCAGAACTTCGAAACTATATTCAGCAATTTTTGCCACGTACCAAAGTCAATTTGATTAAACTCTCATTTATTATTCGCACTTCCTTGTGATAAATTAACACTCATAATCTATTATATTTTGAGCAGTCTGATGTCAAGTAGTAGTGACATCGAGTTTTACTTGAAAATATCGATAGCAACCGGCATTGCTGCAACAAAAACAAAATAATCAGTATTACAGAAATTGTAATAATAAATTCATCACAAAGAAATAGATTAATCATTTAAGTTGCCATATATAAAAGGCCACAGAAATTCAGGGTTCAGAAATGAGGACAACAGCTCATAGGACTCGTTTAGTTTTGATTGTTGTTAAATATAAATAGAACAAACAAATAATCTTTTATATATACTGGAAATGCAATCAGTTTTTTTAATAATAAAGCAAGAAATCTTCTCTGTAAGATAAAACTAGAGCAAATGGTTTATTTGGATTTTTCGGAAGCCCTACATAGGGTCTGGACTTAATCTGGTACTTGACCGTGCTCAATTTACCGAAAATTTAAACGATGTTAATCAGAAATGGTTAATGGTTCGAAAAACTTTTATGCTAGTCAATATTTTACCTTTTTTACATCCAGGTTATAAAATAGATGCAGAAACATATATACACTTTTATTACTTATTTAAAAAAATAAGTTGGCTGGATACAAATCGAATTAAAATTAACAAAAGACTTGAAGAAGAGTCGTATTTATGAAAAAACTATATATTTGTAAAATTAAATATAACCAACTGTAATGGTGAGCTGCGTGATACAAACTATTTATTACTTCAAAATCATTTCAGAAGTTTTTTGTATTTTTATCATTTTTTTTTTGCCTTGCATTTTGTATCTAATTATTGTCTAAGTTGTAATTGTCTACTCAGGGATTTGATACTTCGGACAGCTTATCAAGCATCTTATTATATCAAGCAGTATGATATGAAATTTCCGCCAGAGATTATAGATCTCAAATAGTGAAATTTGCTTCACGTGGGCATTGCTGCAACACGCATACGCCAACACTATCAGATATAGAAATCAGTTATCGAAATTATGTTGTTGACCGCTGGGTTGCCCAATCAAGAAAAAATGATAGATTAGGATGTACGATAGTTCGGATCGCTGCTAAAAAGTCCTATATCAGCTTCAACTAAAAGTTTAATTTAGTCCGGAGTACGATTCCAATCTCGGCCAGCGATATCAAGCAGTATGATATAAAATTTTTGCTAGAGGTTATAGATCTCAAATAGTGAAATTTGCCTTTTGTGGGCATTGCTGCAACGCGCATACGGCGACACTATCAGATATACAAATCGGTTGACGAAATCGAGTAGTTGACCGATGGGTTGCCCTATCAAGAATAAATGATAGATTAGGATGTACGATAATTCTGATTGCTGCTAAAAAGTCCTATATCAAGCAGTATGATATAAAATTTTCACTAGAGGTTATAGATCTCAAATAATGAAAATCGCCTTTTGTGGGCATTGCTGCAACACGCATATGCCAACACTATCAGATATACAAATCGGTTGACGAAATTCAGTGGTTGAACGCTGGGTTGCCCAATCAAGAAAGAATGATAGATTAGAATGTACGATAGTTCTGATTGCTGCTAAAAAGTCCTATATCAAGCAGTATGATATAAAATTTTTACTAGTGGTTATAGATCTCAAATAATGAAAATCGCCTTTCATGGGCATTGCTGCAACACGCATACGCCAACACTATTATTTACACAAATCGGTTGACGAAGTCGAGTGGTTGCCCGATGGGTTGCCCTATCAAGAAAAAATGATAGATTGGGGTGTACGATAGTTTTATATCTGCTTCAGATGAAAGCTTACCCACGTTTGACTATTTTAGAAGCATCGATATGCAAAAATATAAAACGCAAAATTTTCAAGTTTATGTACGCCATTCATATGCGTTGTGTTCAATATATCATAAATTGTATATATGACAAAAGGAGAATAGATAGTCGAAATGACAGAACGTGTACCGCGAAAAAATTGATATCCGTAACAAATTATAGGTTTGACATAAAAAATGGACACTATAAATAATAAAGTCGGAACAACGATATAGGTTATTTACGTTTTTGAAACTTTTAACACATTATACATGGGTTCATGATAGGAAAATATATAGGTTAATTAAAAATTGAAACACGACTGAAATCTGCATGGAGAAATTTAAACCGTTTGGTAAATACCATTAATACCAATTCATATATAGGAAATTTTTTGTAAAATCTATTTTTTTAGAATTATTCCAAAAAAATATACCTACGTTTTGTGTGTACTGATTCTGACAAAAATACCATCTCTCTATTAATGGGAAAATGTTTTTGTCATTAGTTGAAGCCTCAGTTGCATGTTCGGTTACGTAAAAAAACATACATTATGCATTTACATCATGCCACTAATGCTGCATCCATTAGCGATGCTATTTGTTCTAATAATAATAATAGTAATCAAAATCGTGTTAATCCGTATGAATGACAATTTTCGGCGTTCATTATGACATGTATGTCATAACTAAAAATATTTTTTGTAAGCCGAAATAGCGTTTTGCAGTTGACCTAGCCGGTTGCTAATCAAAAACGCCTCGGGCTGTTCATATGAATATTTTTTAACACGTGTAGCGAATTTTGTTAATTAATTTATGCGATGTATCTTTATTATATGTGAGATTTATAGTGTTGTGTTGTTTATTTATATTTTAATTAACCATATCAGCCCATAAAAATAATATACTATAAGTAATACACCGTATCTAATTTTATATTACAAGCACACCTGTACATTCCTTCATGAGTTTTGTTTTATTTACAATAAAATTTTTGCTGAACAACGTGCCCATCTATCTTATTTTTTGAATATTTAATTGCTCTAAATGGATCAATATTTAAAATCGCATAGATTTTTTTTATCCAAAATATTACGATCGGTATCATGGCAGAATAATGCTCAAATTCATTATTCATTATTAAATGCTAAGTTATATAAATTAGAGAATTTGTAGTTAATTTTGTGATGAATTTACTAGATGTCGACTAAAGACAGTTGTAAATTATTTGGGGAAAAAAAATTGTGATGAAATATTATGTTTGGTTTTGTATGGTGTTGATTGTCAATTTGTAGTTATTGGTTAAAGTTATATTCGTTAAATTATTACTGATGATAAAATAAATACTATGATAATAAATGAAGATAAATAATTAATAAAAAAAAACTGTGACTAACTTATATCACCTGTCTGTGCTAATATGAACTCATCTTAATGTCTGTGTGATTGCATTAACATAGGTATAAATCAATCTCGCCAATAATTGTTATTCAAATTAAAATTCAAGAACAATTGTTTGTTTTCTTCGTTTGATTGTGTGATCTATAGACATACTACACCTACATCGAAGAAATTCATAACTGAAAAAAAATATTATGAGAAAATTGTGGATCATTATGTAAAAAAATAATCATTATGGTACTGAAGTGTCAATGGTAGTACTTTTTTGGTCAAGTGCAATAATTTGTTCATTTATGACCGATGTACATCCTAATTTCAAAAATTACTTTGACTAACTTGTTTCATCTGTGTGCACAAATATTCTCTCATCTTAATGCTGTTGTGATTAAAAATCAAATTAAAATGCAAGGAAAATTGTTCTCTTTGTTTGACTTTATGCCCTATAGACATGGTACACATACAGTGATCTTAAAACATAATTTTATTTATGTTATTAGAATTTGCAGAAATTCATAATTGAAAAAAATTATCATGAGAAAATTGTGGATCATTACGTAAAAAAATAATTTTGGTACTGAAGTAACAATGGTAGTGTTTTTTTTGTTTACATACAATAATTTGTTGATTTATCTCCGATGTATATCTAATTTTCAAAAATTGTATCATCTGTAACTAACTTGTATCATCTGTCTGCACAAATATTCACTCATCTTAATACTGGTGTGTTTTGCAATAACATAGGTATACATCAATTGCATCATTGTAACTTCATTATTTGCATTGATGGTTTTCTTTCTTTGATTATATACCCTATAAACATGGTACACTTTCAATGACATTGATACATGAAATCATCTTAACCAATAAAAGTTATGTAATTGGAACTAATATAAATAATTTACATTGCAATTTAGTTTTTAGCTCCAATTTCTGATCTGTATAAATAATCAGTCATCTTATAGCTGGTGTGATTGCAATATTATAGATATAAATTAATCTCGTCATTGTAAAATCCTCATTCAAAACCGCATTGCTTGTTCTCTTTCCTTGATTTTACATCTTATGGACATGGTACACCTCCAATAACATTGAATCATGAAATCACCAATAAAAGTCATGTAATTGGATCTAACAGTTCATATTAGTATTTGGTACTTTGTTTGATGGCATGGACATAGTACACTTTCAGTGACATTAAAACATACAATTATCTTCACCAAAAAAAATCCTGTAATTAGACCTCACAATTTACATCACTATTTGGCTAATTGTTTGATGGCATGGACATGGTACACTTCTCGTGATAAAATGTTAGAACATACAATCATCTTCATCAATTGAAGTCTTGTAATCGGAACTACCTATTTACATTACAATTTGGTTTTTAGTTCCAATTTCTGATGATGACATTACACTTCGGTCAATTGGCTATCCAGCCAGCTTGCGGTTACCCGGCATTTACTGCGGCCGCCTTCGTCCCACAGAACTTCTTCATGCTGATGCTGTTCTCCGACTTTTACTACCGGGCCTATATTAAAAGGAAGCCGGACAAACAAGCCTAACAGTACATTCGATACCTTCTACCCGCCCATATGTTCCTTCCCTGAATCCCCAATCTATCCCTTTACGATCACCGCCCAGCGGCCCACCGAGATGGGGGTTGTCCAGATCGTGAGAGGCCACTGTGCGGCAACAGCAATACGACGCACATTGTGTCGCAATTGTACACCGATGTATTAGGTACAAATTAATCACGTATGAAGAGAATTAACTGGAAAAGTAAAACACTTATATGAAAAACACGCGGTGCGAGAGAAACGACCACTTGATTTGTCTTGTGGTCGTCTCCGATATGCTTTTTAGTGTTAGTATTTTCTACTAGATTATATTTTGTTTGTAATTATGTTTTTATATTATCGTATGTATTGTTTATACTTATTGTTTTTATTTGTTTATTTCATCTTCTTGCATTTTCAGTATCGGCATCCTTTTCATACTCTTAAGATCATGAATAAAGTATTTAGTGGACGTATTTATTAACTCTTTTATTTATTGATTATTAATTATTTTATATCTCTAATGCTTAATAACTTGTGCTGTGGCGTTGATGAATGATGAATAATAATTAACTTTCCGTAGGGTAAGTTATAGTAATCGTCCAAAAATCTAGAATGAAAATTTTGCGTAAATTCATGTTTCAGAAGTTTTTACATACCTTAGAAAAAATTGATGTGTGTTTGTGTATGGCTGTATGTATCTATTCTGATTTTTGTCGACGTTTTTGGAAGCACCGGTCAACCGTATTGAATTTTTCAAAAAGCATTCGATTCCTATTAAAAAGGAGACGTGCTGATTAGTTTTTGGCAAAAGTTGGTCCAGCCGTTTCGGAGATACAAAGCAAAAAGTGCATAAAATTTCAATCAAGTTTGTGAGAGAACGGAGCATCCGATTTGAATGATTCAAAAAATATTCCACTTGTATTGATGTAGTGAAAAAGTGATTAAGTTTTAGCGATGAAGGCAGGTCCAGTAGTTTCGAAAATCCAGTAAAAAAAGTTAAAAAAAATGCCATTTGGCGGTTGAAAATTCGATATTTTGTAATATTAATCGATCGATATAAATGGGTATCAAAAATATTAAAGAAATTTCAAAGCTTTCAAAACAAAATTTAGATTAAAAAAAATGCAGTATTTTTAATAAAGGAAGTTTCAAATTTTCAAAAAATTCCTAAATTCACAAAAAATCTAATTTTTTTTTTGGCTTTTAAACCGATATAAATGGGTATCAAAAATATTTTAAACATTGCTTTTAAACATTTTAAATTACAGTACTGGAAGTTCTAGCAATTTGCCTTAAGGCACTATGCCATGCAGTATAGTTTAAATTACAGTTGTATAAAACGTAGACTCCTACTGTCTAGGTTGCTTTTTTCCCACAATTATCTGAATATTGTAAGTTAAAACTTAGAAATTTTTAGGCCACTCCTTCTAACTCTGTGAATGTCTAGTACATCGTAGTAAATAAATGTAGTAGATTCAGTATAAATATATAAATATTTTAGGTTGGATCAAATAATTCGGTATTTATAATAAAAGATACTAAATGTACATATGAATGACAAGGTATGAAGAGCAAGCAAAATTTAGTGTTTTTGCATTTGCATTGCAAATTGCAAGCATTTTAACTACCTAAAATGAGCTAGAAAGTAAAACTTGATGCCTAGATTTTTCTGGGCTGCTTCTACTAATTTCATTAATATCTACTAGGTTATATAAATGCACTAGATTCTGAATAAATTGATCGATAAATTAGGTTGTAGTATAATTGTGAAATGCGTGGTATAGCCAGCATTTTGATTGATCCTTGATCTCCTTTTGCTTTTTATAAATACTAAAATTTTTCATTAAAACACAACTATACAGTACTACGGAATTTTTATTTAGAAAACATATAAACTTTTTTTATATAATACAGATATATCTATAAGATTATATGACATTGCGTAAAGTTTTTCATATTTAGGATAGCTATCATAGGGGTTTGAGTTGAGGTATATCAGTAGAGAGGTATGTGTTAGAACACACATTTTACGGGCAGTTTCATCTGCAAGTCACTGGGACGCTCCGAGCAGTCTCTGAAGAGATTAAATGACAACGATGACTATGCAACGGCCTGGTGTTTCTGCTTTTACGGTAAACGATAAAGAAATACCGGCAGAACTTCTAGGCGGTTGCATCCTCCTCTGCCGTGTTGTGATTTCGAACACGTGAGAGAAATCAGGAACACATGGTGGTACTTTGCTCGTATCATCAGCATTAACGGTGGAGATTGATCGGCGCGCGTCCAGGCGACGTGAGATGAAGGTGCTTCTGTTTAGAGTTTTCGAAATTAGAATTTGGGGCAGGGTTCTTAGACTTCAGGGGCCTTTGGCAAATGGTCTCCGAAGGCGCGGAAACCGTTGGAATCGGCAACGTAGCTGACGGAGTAGACGACACCGTCTGGTCCGGTGTAGGAGTATGAACCGTGCATCACTTGTTCTTCGTTCTCAGTTCCGACATTTTCCAAGTGGCCACTTTGTTCCATTTTGATTTGATTTCCGGTTTCATATCTGAAGATAATAGAGATACACATTAGATAATGGAAATTTTAACATGAAGGAGACTAATGTTGCCATGTAAGTCATATGTGTCTAACGCTAAGTAGTTCTACATGAGCCATGTTAGACATATATGCCTGACATAAGCAACTTGGTACAAAGAGAAAGAAATTTTTAATATAGCGCCATGTCAGTCAGTTATTATGTGACATAAAAAAAAGTATTTTTCGAGGGATTTTGTCAATTTGTTTTTATACACAAAGGTTCTTTGGTACAATTTTTACTAAATTATCTAAATAAGTTACCATGGCTCATGTGATTTTTTTTATAATATTAACGTAGCGATTGAATATAATATATTCTGGTAGTTTGCCTGAATGCATATTCTAAATTTGGTTAATTTCTAGAGTTGAATTTATGTACTTTTCGATGGTATTTTATATATGTGTGACATAAAAAAGTGTTTTTTAAGAACTTTGGCAAAAAAATTTTTCTTAGATACATTAAGTTCTCGTGTTACATTTTTATCTAAATTATCTAATAAAGTTACCATGGCCAATGTGAAATTTTTAATAATATAAACATGGCGATTAACGTGTTAAATATAATATATATATTCTGGTAGTCTGTCTGAAGGCATATTCTAGATTGATTAATTTTTTTAGATTGTTTATTATTTTAGTTAATACTCTAAGTATTGGGAATAGATTTAAAGTATTTATTTGTTTTTTTTTTTTAATTATATTTTTATTGATAATGATTAGAAAATGTTACAATATTTTGTGTAAAAAATACTTGCTGGCTCATAGAGCAGTACAACTTCTGCTGGGCAAAAGGATTAAATTAGGTTCTTATGGTTTATATTAAGGGATGAAATCAATAATTTTAGTATTTGTTGATAATTATAAGATATATATTAGATGGTTAATTACTCTAATTTGAAAGATTGTAGCTACTAAGTTTTATCGTCTTGTCGGTATATGATCAACATTATAAAAAAAATCTCTTTCTATATATAAATATGTAAAAAATTCTCTTGTCATGATGTTTTAACATATATTTTTCGTTCCCTTGAGTAGTAAGGGTTGGCAACTCTTAAGTTTTTTTTGGTTTTTGGAGCAATTTCTTTTATTTTACTTTTTTATAATTCATAATTAAAACACCCATACTGCCCTGAATTTTTACTCCTTTACCTCAAACTCCTATTTCGCAATAGTCATTTTAGTAATCGAATAATTTTTCATCCCGCTTTCTGTCAATAAATTTTTTGACATAATTCAGATAGTTCATATTGATTAATTTTATGGAAAAGCTTAAATTCTAAAAACCATTTTTTTTTAATTTCGGAGTTTTTTTATTTTTATTTTTTAATGCGGAATTCAAAAATACATAGAACTATATCATTATGAAGAAACTGTGGTTCATTTTGTAAAAAAAAAACAGCCAACATGACTCATGAATATATTGTTAAACCCGTGGGCAAAATTTAATAGTACATCGTTTATTTAATACATCGTTAACAATAATATTTAATTTAAAAGCAATTTCGCACTGATTTAACTTCTGACATAAATATTTTTTCTTTTTAAAACATTTAACTTAATACCCAACGTAATTGTAAACTCCTTATTAGTCATCGATAATGTATTTAAATTTTTTAATTATATGCAAAGCTATATAACATGATTGGAATTATGTGTGTCAATTAACCGAATCGAAGATAATAAAAATACAATTTTAATATGCATTTTATAATGAGATATAGAAAGAATATACACACTGTGTCTGTATATTTTTTTCGGAAAAAACGTAAAGCGTTTATAAAACATTTTTACTTTGCACGAAGAGTAGGTGTATTATTATTCCATTAAATTAATAATTTTATTTTATGTATGATGAAGCATTGTATGAATTATTTTTGCTTCAAAAAGCCTTGAGCGTTCGAAAATACTAAAGGATAAAGTTTAACAATGATGTTGCAGAATGAAATGTGTGGGCGAAATGGTATTCTATGCAACAAGTCGAAGTATGCAGTTTTCAATTTGTTTATGTTGGGTATTCAAATATAGTTCAAGGTAAATAAACGGTAATTGATCATTATGAATTCAGTAACTGACGAGTCGAACTCGTTGACACTAATTAAAAAAAATGAATTAGAAATGAAAATAAGTTACCTGTACTTTTCTATGTTACTGTTCATTTTTATACATACAATATTTGTGAAGCTAAATTTAAAGTTGATAATTATGTTTGATTAATAAATTTTATAAAGATCATTAATTTGTAGTAAGGAATATACAGAGGCATTCCACTATTCCTTTCCTTCTTGATAATGTTACGCAATCGATTCCCAACTAAAAAACATTCCGGAAACTAGCATCATCAATATTAATTTCAGTTTTAAAAGTAGAAATGTCAAAAACTGCTTCGAATGTTATCAAACAAATCAATGACCGTGCCAAGACAATAATATAACGTCTTCATTTCTCGGAGCATCTCGAAGACTTAATTCATATAAAGTGAGAGTTTTGACAAACTACTTAATTATGTCGTGACGTACCAAATTGATATAGTAGAAAGTTTTTTTTATTCTACATTGATATAACAATTCTAATAAATCACCTGATTTTATATTTTAATGGTCAGTCGAAATCTGTGATAATTTTCTAACTGACGTAAGAGAAAGCTCCAAATTTTGTAATAAATTTGTTTGTGTGTTGTGCAATCAATAAAATTACATATTTACTAATTACATCAAACTATTAGCTAAAAGTGAAACATTTGGCATAAATCAATATCCCTATTCTCTAAAAATTTTTTTCTCAATGTGTATAAAATGTGACAATTTAGCTTTGATTAACAAACACAAACGACAAATGAAACAAATTAATCTCGACTGATTTTCAGGAATAATCGTATTTAAAATTAATAACACTGTGGTTATTTTATTAAATTTCGCAATTACACAAAAAGCAAGTGCTTATTTCATTTGTAATTAATTGCAGCTTATACATCATTTTCAATATATATTGTAAAGGTAACGCGTTTGATAAACTGTTCATGGAAATATAATTTTGGTTTGTGCATATTAATTTTAAAGCATTTATTTAAAAACTGAGAAACAATAAGAATAATTAATGGAAAAAACTCAATAATGATGACTACAATAATGTTACTTTTAATATGTCGAACGATGTTTGATTGATTTTGTTTTAAACTCGTATAATGTGTAGTCATGAACTCTAAAACATAATTGCGAAAACAAAATTTAGATGGTTCTATAATATTTTAGGGGGTTTATTTTGACTATTAACCCTATGAATAATCTTGATTGTTTGTAAGTTGATATTTAAATATATATATTTATTGAAAATGTTGCTCCATCGAAAGCCCAAGCTATGGTTTCTTCGACAAAGTTTCTTGAAATGATTCATAAAATCAAAATCGCCGTATTTTGACCAAAACATTTTAGCAGCCAATTATATATGCATATAATTCTTTTATACAGATGTATGAATGGTAACTCCTTTTACATGATTATTCGAATTTTGATAAATCTTTTTGAAGCTTATTAAGGAAAATTTTAAGGATTTAAATGATTATAAAAATATAGTAATGTTGTAGAAATAAAAGAAAAAAATTGCAAAAAAACAATATCATTATTTGACATTGAAAATATTTTGATAAAACTATCACCTGCCAGAAATGTCATTTTATTTGAAAATTGTATTTTGGTTGAATATTGGAGTTTTGAATTGTAGACATGGGTACAGGACAACATCTTGTCAGGTCATCTAGTATATATATATATATATATATATATATATATATATATAAAGTTCAATACATTTCATAATACCACACGATTACACTAATCTCAATTGCTGTATTACTACTCTTAATCCATAATCGGCTCTAATTAAGGTTAAACAGTTTCAGTTTACTATAAAGTCAACATGTCAATTATTTTCTCATATACTTTTTATAAATCCATTAATTATTGCTATCAATTTCAATTACCAATACATTGTAATTGAAGAAGTAGTTTTCTAAATATCAAATGCGTAATATACAGTCATTAGTGGAAATATTTAATCTAATCTCTCGGTAGCATTTAGAATATTTCTACTAACTAGCTTTAAACTAATAAATAAATACTAACATAAATGTCAAAGTTCTAGTTCAATCAAGAGTAAAACCAGTAAATCTGCATTTGCAAATGTCATTTTATATAATATCGATCTTGAATTTTGCAATGAAATGATATTTTAATTTATTTATGAGTTTCGTGAAATCCGATACGCAGAATGATATAAATGTTAGCTGTTTCAAATTTGTACTTGGAAATACGTAGTTGGAAATTCTATTGAATATATAATTGAGCAGGACGAGTTTGAATACCAAGTTAAAAAGCCTATTTATTCCTACCTATTTTTTAAAAAATTATCAATAATATGGCAAAAACCTCAATATTGTTAATTTAGCTTTAGTTTATTTACTATTTATAAGTAGTCATTGATTTTATAAATTATTATTACAAGTTTGTTTCTTGATTTTTTGCAAATTTTAAAACGTTTGGCCTTCAGAAGAATACAGTCTTCTGATAACATGAATTTAAAATGATAAATTATATACCATAAATTTTTATGAGAATAGTACTGTTTTAATGAAAACTTGTGTAATAAAAACTATTTCTATCATTAATGCTTGATCATTTTATGAGATACCAGTTTCGGACGCTACCCTGTACTTGTATTTTCTAGTTGTGACAGATTTTTAATATACTTGATATAATCTATTTTCACTACTGCTTGATATTAAGGTGATCATGGCGGGTAGCGAACCTAGATCCAGGGATTGCTAATTTCACTTTTCTTAATATTTTTGCAGCAATGCCCTCGAATAGCAATTTTCACTTGATATCAATTTTTTATATCTAAATCTCTAGTGAAAATCTGATGTCACCCCCTAGACATTATGGTATCCAATGTGGGTATCGAACCCGGAACCAG